GACATTTTCATTGACTATTACATAAATGATAGGAACATATATTAAATATCGTATCTATGTAAATATTGTAAAGTACAAAAAATTTCTACATTAAACATCCACAATACATAACTGTACAACTAATATGGAATAGTTTATGTGTAAATATAGGAATTATACCTAAATTTATACATATAACAACTTATATTTTAATCTGATCTATTTCATATTCATCCTCACATCTGCATTTCAACAATGACTGAACAAGTTGTTTTCTTCCAAAATGTTCATTTTTCTTTTTCTAACTTCTTTCCATGATGCAATTAAAAATTTTAAAAAGATATTCTGAGGATAAAGATAAAATATTTCTTCAGTCATTCAATTTTGTTTATTACTGTATGTTAAGCATGGTTTCAAATGTAATAAAAATGTTTCTGAAACATTCTATTACATGACATTTTTTTTTAGCTTCTATAAAAATATTTAATCATCAATGAAAATAAATCTTTCTGAAATTCATCAGCTGCTTAATAACAAAATAAATGTTTACAGTTTAAACTGATAGCATTCTTTATTCAAATTTTAATCTGAAAAATTTAATGTTTGAATATTTAATTTCAGTGTTTAATTAACTGATTAAAAAATTAGGAATTAATTACAATTTCTCAATCATCTGCTCATTTTTGTAAATACTGCAATTTTGAAATCAATTAATTGATGATTTCATTTTTATAATTATTTATCAAACCATTAAAATATCTTTATTAAAATTTAAAATCAGTTAAAAACATATAACACAAAGCAAAAACTAAAATACACTTAACATAAAATGTATAAAAAATATCAAAACATATTCTGACTTAAAACAATTTTTAAATTTTTTTGTATTAATTCATTAAATATTTTAATTAGTCTGCAAGACAATATAATTTTATTTTTTCATTTATTTCAAAAAACTAAATTAAACAATTAAGATAAAATTAAACTGGGAGATAATAAAACATGTAATTTAACATAAAACTCAATAAATATGAATAATATATAATGAAAAAATTTAAATTTGCAATCAAGCTTTCATTTTATTCAAAATGATATAAACTACTTAAAGAAAAGTTTTCTATAAAACAAAAAATAATAATTCAACCATGTGTGAAAGAAAATTCAAAATTTTTATCTATTAACAAGGAAAATATTTTGAATAAATTAAAAATCTTAATAGATATGCATATAAACTGTTTTAAAATAACTCAACTGAAAAATAAAATCAGAGAAAGTAATAAAAATATAATTTATAATGACAAATGCACAAGAGAAAGAAAAATATTTAACGATATTAATAATGGCAATAATGAATTTTTCAAAATCATCTATCATTAACAAATAGAATAGTTAAAATTCTAAAATTAAAGAATCCATATTAAAAAATGTTGTGTTAATTACAAATACTTTTGCCTTTGTTAATAAAATAAATACAATAAGAATCCAAGTATAAAGGAAATCTTAATAATGAATTAAATAGTACAAATTACACATAATTGAAGTTGATAACAATTTAAATTTACAGAGTTAATTTCATAATTTTCTCACAATTTACAAGTTATTAATGAAATTGTACTGTACATTATGTTTACTTGAAAATTCTGAAATGTAAAGTGTAATATGTAGAAAAATAATAAGATAACTAATTAAACACATCAAGAGATACAACATCCACCCCTGCAAGTCTAAAAATTACTAAATAATATTTTTTTATGCTTCTAATTAATTAAAATCAACAGATGATTTCTGATAATCATTTACAGCATTTTAATTAATCAATTATTATTTATTTATTAAGTATCCTTATACATAATAGTCTTTCTCTTAAAATTATTATATACTGAAAATTGTATATTTCATTTTAAGCTGTATAGTATTTTCTTTTTCAAATAAATTTTATGGAAAATTTAAAATAATGTTAATGTATGCATTATTACTTAATACTTACATTACTTAAATATTTAGAATATATATCTAATATTTAACATATTGATAAATTATAAAACAACTGTACCTGTAACCATTAACATTAAATTTTATTTATGTAAATCATTAAATAAAAGTAAACCTATATTTACACTTCATGTAAAGTTTTTATTCATATTCATTATAATTTGAGATAGCAAGAAATTTTCTTTATAGTTATATTTAGTTACTCATATTATCTTTTTTTATTTCAGTTAATCCTAAGTTTTGGGAGTTATTTTATTTAATCTCAGCACTTTCCAGTTTACTGGCTCATTTGCTTATTACAGTTATTCGAATGAAATTCCAGTTTTAATTAATATGTTCATACTTAAGTTATTGAAAAAAGAAAATCACTTTTTAATATGTCTTACAAATTGTGGATATGATTATGTAAATTAGTATGATGCCACCAAAGGGTATAAAGCTGGTCAACAGAATAAGATGTGAAAATGTGATATAAGTTGTTGAATTGGTGATTATGAGCTTTTTCTTCTGCTAAATTATTTCCCTCTAATAATGTTCACACTAGGTGCAAAGTTTTGTATTTTGAAATTATGTTCCTCTAATTTTTTGAAGTTTTTATAAAGTTCAAAAACTGGCACTTGCTATTTTAATAAAGTTTCTTTTACTGAGAACTCAATCGAAGATATTTAATTTTTCAAGATACTTTGATAATTCCTTACAATATATATATATATATATTGTAAATTATCAAAGTATTATTATAATAAGGAATAAATAAATATATATATATA